CCCCGGGCGCAGGCCGCGTGGAGCGGCGTCTCGCCGTCGTCGTCGACGCCGTCGACGAGGGCCGCGCCGCCGTGGGAGCAGAGCAGCGCGACCATGTCGTCGTCGTCGCCGTCGCCCGGCGCGCGGTGCCGGCGCTGGGCGTTCAGCTCGTCGTCGTCGCGCGCCGCGTGGGCCGCGGCGAGGTGGAGCGCCGTGCGGCCGCGGACGTTCCGCGCGTCGACGGCCGCGCCCGCGTCGAGCAGCAGCGTCGCCACGTCCCGCCGGCTCCGCCCGCCGCGGTACGCCGCGTGGTGCAGGGCCGTCCAGCCGTCGGCGTCGCGGCCGTCGACCTCGAAGACCGGCGCGCCCGACGGGCCCCGGCGCCGGGGGGCGTCGTCGTCGTCGCCGTCGCCGCCGTCGTCGTCGGGGAGCCCGAGGACGTCGTCGCCGGCGAGGAGCGCCTCCGTGAGGTCGGCGAGCCCGGCCTCCGCCGCGAGATGCAGGGGCGACCGCAGGCGCCCGTCGCCGACGGCGCGGTCCAGCGGAAAAGCGCAGCCGTCGAAGTAGGGCGACTTCGCGAGCGCGGGGCCCCGCGCGAAGGCCGAGCGCCGCGAGCGGGCGCCGCCGCCCGTCGTCACGCGCCAGCCGTCGTGCGTCGCGTCGCCGCGGCGCGGCGCGCCCGGGCGGCCGCCGCGCCGGTTCAGGTCCGGGTCGACGGCGTCGGCGGCCGCGGCCGCGAGCGTCGCGACGGCCGCCTCGGCGCGCTCCGCCTCGCCGACCTTGACGTTGCGCCGGTCGTCGCCGTTGAGGATCGCGTGGTAGGCGCCGGGCATGCGGTCCCCGGAGAAGCCGCGCGGCGGGCCCCGCGGCTCCTCGGGCGCGTGCTTGCCGAACGCCGCGTCGAAGTCGCAGAGCACCGCGCGCCGCAGCGCGCGCCGCGTCGTCCCGGACGTCGCCAGGTCCTCGGGCCGCGCGCCGTCGTCGGCCCGCAGGCCCCGCGACGCGCCGCGGCGGAGCAGGGAAAGAAGCAGGTCCGACGGCGCGTCGCGGAACGCCGCGCAGTGGAGCGCCGTGAACCCGGCGGCGTCGTGCGCGTCCAGCGCCGCGGCGCGCGCCTTGGTCAGGTCCGCCTTCTCGGCGAGCCCGGCCGACGCCGCGTGCCAGCGCGTCAGCGGGTCCTCGGCGTCGTAGCCGGGCCCCCGCGCGTCCGTCTCCGAGCAGCGCGCGAGCCAGACCTGGGCCGACGCGGACGACGCGCGCGCGTTCGCGCCCGCCGTGCACGCGAGCGCGTCGCCGACGGCGGCGGCGGCGTCCTGGGCGCGGCGCCGCGCCGTGAGGCCGTCGACGCGCCGCGCGGGCTTCCGCGCCCGCTTCTTCTTGTCCTCCCGCTCCCGGAACGCGTCGCGGCGCCGCCGCGCGGCCGACTCGTCCGACGAGTAGTCCCGGGAGTAGTCGCTGTCGGAGTCGCCGCGCCGGCGGCGGCGGCGCGGGCCGGACGACGCCGACGAGTCCGACGCGTTCGCGAAGTCGTCGTCCTCGGCGGACGCGAGGACGTCGTCGACGAGGCGCTCGTAGTCGACGTAGAGGCGCCGCTGGCGCCCGAGCTCGAGGGACGCGTGCTTCGGCACGTGCTCGTAGCGCGCGCCGATCTCCTCGAGCGTGTCGTAGGCGAGGCGCAGGCCCAGGGACCGCAGCGCGGCGTCGAACTTGTCCAGGGGCAGGCGGCCCTCGCCCTCGTCGTCGACGGCGTCGAAGGCGTGCAGGAGGGACCCGGCGTCGGACGCGGGCTTCCGCGGCCCGTCGTCGGAGTCGCTGTCCCGCCGCGAGGACGTGACCCTGGCGAAGCGCTTCGTCGCGCGCCGCGCGCCGGCCCGGAGCGCCTTGAAGAGCCACAAGACGAGCGCCTCGCCGTGCTTCCGGTCCCAGGCGCCGGCCTTGGCCGGCGCCTCGGGCGGCGGCGGCGCGCCGCTCCGGAGCGCGCCGCTCCGCCCGCAGAGCGCGCCCGTGCCCGCGTCGAAGCCGCGGCCCTCGGGGAAGAGCGGGTGCGCGCCGTCGTCTTTGACCTCCGCCGCGGCCGCGGCGCGGCTGCCCCCGTGCTTCGAGGACGAACCGACGGACTTCCAGCGGGGCCGCGCCGCGAGCTCGCTCGTCGGCGGGCGGAAGAGCTTCCGCGCCGCGGCGCGCGCGGCGGCCTCGTCGCGCAGGAGCGCCGCGACGACGGCGTCGGCGTCGGGCGCGCGCCAGGGCGTGCCCCGGGGCCCCGGCGGGCAGACCACGAGCGACGACGACGCCGCGCCGAGGTCCCCCGCGCCGCAGGAGAGCAGCGCCGCCACCGTCGCCGCGCATTTCGGCGCGTCGCGGCACGCGCATCCGTAGTGCAGCGGCGTCCGGCCGAGGTCGTCGCGCGCGGAGACGGCCGCGCGCCACGCGGCCTCGCACCTTAACTCCCGGAGCCGGTCCTCCCGGTCCGCCTCGGACGCGCACCACTCGTAGAAGCCGCGCAGCTCGCCCGCGAGGCGGTCGCGGCCGTCGCGGCTCCCGCGCGGCGCGGCGCCCCGGCGCCGCAGCTCGCCCGCGAGGTCCAACAGGCGGTTCCGCAGCGCCGCGACGGCGTGCTCCCGCTCCTGCGACGCCGCGCGGCGCCACGCGTCGCCGAGGCGCGCGAGCAGGTCGTCGCGGCCCTTGGCCGCGAGCACGTGCGCCACCGTGCGGCCCGCCGCGTCCGCGACGAGCGCGCAGCGCAGCCCTAAACCTTCCCGGAAGCCGAGGGCGGCGGCGGCGTCCTCGAGGCCGTCGCCGTCGCCGTCGAAGGCGCAGAGCAGCGCCCGCGCGGCCTCGTCGGACGCGCGCGCCGCGAGGTCCGCGCGCGCGACGGTCGGCCGGAGGTACCTGGCCCGCGCCTTGTGCGTCTCGCGGGACGCGACGTCGCCCTCGCGCTCCGCGAAGCCCCGCTTCAGCGCCATGAGGCCGCGCTGGCGCCGCTTCTCCCGGAGCTCCGCGGCCTTGGCCTCGAGGGCCGCGTCGTCGGACGACATCGACGCGACGCTCTCCTTGTCGCTCGGCGGGTCCGGCTCCCGCCGGCGCCGCCGCGGCGGCGGCGCCGCCGCGGGCGCCTCCGCGGGCGCCTCGGCCTCGGCCTCCGCGGCCGCGACGACGCGCGCCGCCGCGACGTCCTCGGCGTCGCTCCGCGCGAGCTCCTCGGCGCCGCTCTCGACGGCGCCGTCGACGGCGGACGCGGCCTCGCGCAACCGCGCCTTCGTCGCGGCCGCCTCCTCCTCGGCGGCGGACCGCATGGCCTCCTCGGCGTCGGACGCGGCCTCGGCGGCGACCTCGAGCGACGCGCGCCGCAGCTTCTGCCCCGCGCCCGCGTCCGCGGCGGCCTC